CTGGTTGCTGTTGCTGGCCCCCCCAGAACGTTGCCGTGGCAGAAAGAGGCCTCCACAGCACAGTGCTGGAATACTTTGTTTTAGACTTTAGACGTTGGTTGGGTCATGCACAACCGCACGATTGTTGTTGTGTTGTTTCCAGCTTGCTGATTAGCAGCTCCTGCTAGCTAGCTCAAATCTGCACAGGTTGTTGTAACTTTTCCAAGACTTGTTTTCACCACAGATGCAGTCAGATAACGTATATGTGGCATCCGGTCATGTTCGTTCAAGTGCATCCAAAAAAAAACAGGGTGGTTCCAGCTCGCTGCACGTGCACACTGGTTCTTGCACCTAGCAACAGTGGTTCTTTCATGCTTGTTTTGCTTCTTTATCAAATTTCGTCTGGGTTTTTAAAAAATTTTCTTCTTCTCCCCAGTTGCGTGTTCGGTAGGTTCAAGTTGTCGCCTTTGCCTTCAAATCAAAGTCTTCGAAGTTCCGCCCCCTCCATCCATGGAGCGGAAAAGAGCGGGAGGGGGCGCAGCCCCCCAGTTGCGTGTTCGGTTTTGCTCTCCGTGGTCCCTTTCGAAGCCTTCGGGCCCCTCCAATCCGAAGCCCCGCGCGTCCTCACCTTCGGAGCCTTGCCCCCCCTTCATCCTCCCCTTCGAAGCCTTGGAAGCCTCCTTCGTCCTCACCTTCCAAGAAGCACTGCCCCCCTTCATCCTCCCCTTCGAAATCTTCGAAACCTGCTTCGTCCTCACCCTTCGAAGCCTTCGAAGCCCTGCCCCCTTCATCCCCCCTTCGAAGCCTTCGAAGCCCCCTTCAAAGCCCTGCCCCCTTCATGTCAGCATCGCGCAGACCGTGCTGGGTTTATCCACTTTTCTGTTCGTGCCAATGTGTGCAAATCTCCAGCCTTCTGCGAATCTCTGCTTTGCTCGATGGAAAGTGCTATTATTGCTGTTGTTGTTGGTGTTGTGCTCAAAGCAACGCTCGATTGATTGAATTGCTCGCTATTTTTTGTCTGGAAGAAGAATTTGTTTTCATTGCATTTTTTATCGCTCAAAGAAGAATTTCTGGCAGAGTCGTTACTCCAATCTTTGAATGTCTTTACAATTTGAAGCTATGGAGCTGCAGATGCCACTTGGTTTTGTTGGAGCGAAGAGAACGTGGGTGGATCGATTTCCGCCGTGCAGATGCCATAAGTGTTGGTTTCACGTGTGGTTTCTCGACAATGAAGTGATGAAATGCTACGGTGTGTCAAAGTGGAGTGACTGTCGGTCAGCAGCTGCGTGATTGTGTGGTTTCATTCTGCCCATGGATGGGGTTTCTTGTTGGATTGATCTCAGGTTTGTTTTTTTTTTATTTTTTGGGGATCTTTGTGCAACAGCATCTGGTCCAACCACTTCGGTTCGAACACGTTTGGTTCATCAACGGGACAGTTGCTTTGCAATGAATTGAGGCGCTCTTGCAGTGGCTTCTTACAGAAGACTGTTTCCTATGTAGGGCAGGTTGTCTTAGCCACCTTAGCAGGCCGTTACTTCGGTAGTTACTCTGCTATGTAAAAGCAATAGATGTCGAACAGGGGCAGCAGATCGTTCCCACACTGTGTTGTGCTTTGGTATGATTCTTTGTTCTCGCTAGCCGGATTGGTGCGTTGTTGGCGTTAATTGCAAATTGCAGGCTGACTGCCCGGGATGTCGCGTTTAATGTCGACGCATGGTCGATTTGACAGTATTGACAGTCGTACTCTTGATTTTAAACTTTAAACCCCGGCCATGTCTTCGGATAGCTTTGCTGGGCAGTCGGCCGATGGTTTGAGGAATCATTGACGAGAAGATCAGATAAGTAGTCGCATGGATTGTGCATTCGTGCTTTGGCATGGAGAAGAGCTTCAAGCGGCGTGTGGCGACCTTAAACTTACAATGTAGAACCTACTCTAAGACTGAAGAAGCCATTAAGTATTCCTTTGACTTAGGCGAAAAGAAAACTGGGCAGGGATCCCGTCGATCCGATATCCAAGAAGCAAGACTGGAGCGAGAAGGTCTTGCAGGGCCCTCAGATGGCTTGGTCTTCCATTCACATGTTTCATCGTGTGTTCTGACAACGATGCGCCAGGAACAGGCGTGAATGGAAACCGTCGAAGGAATACAATGGGTCAAAGGCCACACGTGCGCTTCTCTTCCGTGCAGTTGTTGAAATGTGTTTCCAGACCCTGACAGCTCTAGCGAGCGCTGATCCTTGAAGTTCGACGTTAAATGATAGCAGGTTTGACTTTCGGCAGCCTGGGTTCGTACAGAATCAAGTGATCCAGAGCCTTTCATGAAGCAACCATTTGTCGGACTTTCGGCAGGTGCGCAACGTTCCGTTTAGCGCTGCGGAGAACGAAAAAATCCGCAAGGCGACGGGAGCTTATTTGGCATTCGTGGAAAGCTTCACGGTTTCCAAACTGCAAAACCGTCAGAAGTGTGCGGCAAGCTTTGTCTGGACGTATTGTTCAATGTGCTGACTCGGTGTGCTTGTGTCGCAGAGCCGAGGATTCAAGCTTATTGTGAAGAGGAAGGACTGGACTACGCTGCCGCGTGCTGGGCTGAGATGTGCTGAACTCCGGGAAGCACAGTTGCATTTCAGATTCTAACCCCTCCACAGATTTGCTGCACAGGTGCGAAACGTTGCACAAGGAAAAGAGAGGCTACAAGCTGAGCTTGCCAAGATTTTTTGCGGGCACAACGGCAGTCCAATGTGGGTCTGCCCGCATGTGTACAAGGCGGCGCCTGGGGACGCATAGCGTTCTTTGCTGATCTTCCCCAACGCAGGGTTGCGAGCTTGGAGTTGTGCACGCAGGCTTTGTCACTCTGTGCGAATTTTCGTCAGACCTGGGCCATCGTGCAACGGGCGAAGAGGACCGGCCGGACCGGCTCGGGCACGCAGAGGTGCCCTTGCTGCGAGTTTTCTGTGCAGGATTCTCTGGGGGCCTCATAGGCACGTTTCTATGCTGCCAATCCTTGACAAATCATGGGCGACCCTCTGCGACTGGCAAAGGTGGTCGCAACTGGAATTGCAGACCTTGATGGACGAGGCTTGCAGATCCTGAAGGAAACTTTGTCATTCCAGGTAAGTGCCGCAAGCCCTCCATGAAGCTCGTGTTGTGTCACCCACATCAGGGGCGACGACGAATCGAAGCATATTGTCTTCTTTCGAGTTGCTCTTGGTGTTTGTTGTTCCCGAAGGCTTGCACATCTGCGAAGCCGAGGCCATTCCGTGTTAGATGCGTGCGTGACTTAACCGGTCGTTTCCGACAAAAGCGCGAAGAGAATGCAAGTGCATCGGCTGCCAGTTGGGTCCGGATCTCGAACCTTATTTCGGTCCTCGCCCAAGATGCCGCCGTTTGCACTTCGATGTTTGCAGTGACATGCCTTAAGGTGAACCCGAATACGGTGCGTGACAAGTGGCGCGAGATGTGTGGTGGTGAGAAGGTGAAGGGCAAGTTCTCACAGGCCGAGGACTCGACGAGTCTTTAACGGGCCGGGCCTGGAGACCGGGTTCCGGTTTTCCGTCCTTTTTTTGTTCGTGAGGATTGGAGGCTGCGCATGGCGATCTGCCAAGCAACCCAGAGATCCCTTCTCAGCTTCTATGGGTTCGGCCCTGCATGAGGTGGGTGTTCTTGAATTCCGAGGCCTTCTCCCGACGAAGAACATCCCCTGGACTACAGCAGAGATCTGAGTTTGTTTCTGTGGGCCGGTAACTCTACAACAGGCTCAGAGCGAAACTGCTGACGATCACAGGTCCAGAAATGGATGCCACACCGGGGTTACAAGATGTCGCGCCCTTCGATTGTGCAATGTTTTGCTGCGAAGAGCGGATTGCTACTGCAACAAGCTGTCCAGAAGTAAGATTGATGCAACGATGGTACCAGTACCTCATGCCGCGCTTGTCTGCCTACAAGGCTGCAGCTGGGCTTTGTCTGCTTGACGCAGCCCTGTCCCTGTTCCGGTGTTTTGTCAAATTGGATGCAGGACAAGTATGGTATGCCCGTGGAGCCAGAGCTTTTTGTGCGACATCTCTTGACCTGAGCTAAGTGAAGAGAGCCGCGACGTGTCGGCCTGTGAAGGTCAAGACCCGCACCTGTACTCAGGCGCAAGCTTCGAAAGAGTGACATCGACGATCCGAGGGCAAGGGGCCTGGTATGACCGATTCTCCAACTCCTGGTCCTCTGCACGGCTACCTGCTCACCCTGGCACTCTCTCTCACGTCTTAACTGCATCATCCGCTTCTCGGTAGGCGGGTGTGTGTTTGTGTGTGTGGCCACTCCCGAATCGGCATGAGGGAGAACGAAGGTTGCGTCATGTCGCGTTATCGGAGATCTTGCATGAAGCTTGCAGGGGAGCGGTGCATGCTGTCGGAGACACCACTCAACGAAGACACTCCTTCAGCATGGTGACGTCAACCTGGGACATTGCGTTGACGCACCGGCAAGTGATGGCTGGTGACATTCTCCGCACTTACGCCGTATATGGTGCACAAATGTTGTTGCTGCTAGCTTAGTCTAGTCTACAACAGGATTGGGCCAGGTCCCCACCCAAGGTCGACGCCATGCCCGACGACAGGCTCCAACAAACACTTAGAACACTCCCGTGTGTATGTGTGTCATGCAACAGAGCATTGTGAAGACCTCCAGACCAGTGCCGTATTTCATTGAGCTTGTCCACTGAAAATTGCATTTCGAAGGAGGTGGAATGGACGTGTGCCGGAAGCCTGGACATTCATAATCACTCATCATGTCCGGGCTGTCGGGTATCTAAGCCAAGGTCAACATCTGGTGGTCTGCGTCAATGAACCGAAACAAGTGGCGGGAACTTGCAAAGAGAGTCGGCAGCTCGAGGCATATCTGCCTGTGCCATTGAAGCAACATTACATTGCTGTGAGTGTCTGCGCCAAGGTTCCGTCAGACCTACGCCAAGCAGGTATGCAACAGCAGGTAGAGTGGTGGTACGAGGTGGGGTTCAGGATCTTTCCTACCTACCTGACCCGTTGTGCGGATGGAAGGCCCTTGAGTGCAAGGGCCATCGCAAACGAGACAAAGAAGTGTTGAGAGCTTAGTCTGGCCGGCACCAGGATTCTGGGAGTTGAGATCTGTGGGTACCTGTAGGCTCAAGAACGTCGTCTCCGTGCTGGAGGCGGAGGCAAGTGCGGGTGAGGGAGAGAGAGGACATGCATGTGTGTTTATGAGTTCGAGGCGAGCTCTATCGCGCTTCCGGACCCAATGTTTAGACATGACTCCATGACTCCTATTACGTTCCGTTTCTGCTTGGTATCTAGGGGCAGTTATGAGTTTACCTCTGCGAGATTTATGCCTGATTTCCCGAGATGTCTGCCTTATGTATCGGAGGATTTATGGCCTATTTCTCGGAGCAGGCATACACAGCACAAAAAGATGAGCGCAATCATGTAAAAGTGAAGTGACCGCAAGCACATCCAGCAGCTCATAGTGGCACCCATACACCGAGTGACGAGTACGTCTCAAATTGTATCGGCACAAGACATCACACACACAGCATAGACAAAGTTGAGAATGCAGATACATCGATATCAGGAAATCAGCAGAAACACTCGAAGATGCACTGACACATGGATGAGTTCGGGACCCTTTCTCTGTATGGTTTGTGTGCAGTCATGCTTTATGTAGAGACGGCCCCATGCCAGGGCGAACTTTAGGGCTTAGGACTTGTCCCCTTCCGGGCTTGGGTTTGGGATTAGAGTCAGATTTAAGGCTTGGTTTAGCGGACAAAAACAGGCAATCTGGGGTTTGCCGAATTTATTCATTGCCCAGTTTATGCGCAGACATCGGGGGTGGAGGCTTGTCGACATGGCGCCAGTCAAATTGCACATACTTTCCAAGGCCATGCAGGAAGACTGCGAAAGCGAGGCCATGCAGGAAGACTGCGAAAGCTCCGAGGACATGCAGGAAGACTGCGAAAGCTCGATGCCCACAAGATTGCTGCAGAAGTGTGCCGCTGTTCTTTGTTTGCCTTGCTCGTCTGCTACACCAGGTCAGAGCGGCAGCCAAAGAAAGCGCCGCAGCAAGCGACAGCTCGAAAAACGTGGTCGAAGAAGGGTGAGTTCACGATACCCGGGAATTTGTACGAGGCTTGGGGCATGTGTAGCTTCAATGGTGGATCACAGGTTGTGCGTCAGTTGGTGCATCCCGGAACCAACCGCACATGCATTGATATCTGTTCTTCTTTGTTTGCAAGGGGTGGCCTGTGTATCTAAGGATGAGGCAGCCACACTCGCACAGGGTGCTGAGGGCCGAAGCACACGGTTCCGACAGAACTTGAAACATGATGAAAAATCCTACTCCGCAGCAAACGGAAACTTGGACCTGCGCACGCCGGCAAAACGAACGGATTCCCCACGGTTCTTTTGACTTATAAAACACTTAACCAACTGTGCGGAGGACTAACTGTGCAAGGGTTAATGTGAGGGGTGAGGATTCTTGCTGCACCCGATCCGCCAACAGCGTAATGCGAGATCGCCGAGTCTGGAATCAGCCATTTGTGCAGACTTTGCTGGGCTAGATCTGTTGACGCTGATACCTTCACTCGAAAAGTGTCTTTGCAAGCAGTTTTTCGAGCAGTGGGAGCTAGAAAGGTAGCTTGAACAGGGTGTTGCGCTTAACCTACGCATTCTGCTGAATTCTAGTTGACGCAAGAGAAGCAAGATCATGTTATGACGTCACATGGCCTGCTCGCTGCCACCCGCAGCAGCGCCGGGTCCTTGCCGGCCAAAGTTTTCCAAAAGCATGATGGCTGTTGTGGTGTGCAGCAAGGCTTCTTGGCGCAGCGCAGGTGGCCCTGAAGGGTTACAGGGTTGACTGTGCGAGTCCGCATATGAAGGTGGGTTAGCATTAGAGTGATGCTTGCCATGGATGCTTTTTGTGTAAGGACGGACTTTAAAGCTACCTCGATTCATCGCAGATCATCGTCGCTTCATCCGCAGCGGCCTTTGATGCTTCTTGCCCACATGCTATTGCCGCTGACCGAACGAGTGCTGTACATTTGTAGGAACTGGGTTCTTCACAGATGATGCAGACTTCCTTGATCCAGAGGCATGGCTGTGTTGCACAACCTGAGACCTGCACCAAACTCCAAGAATGATGTGCGTAGGCTCCACTCCTGGCGGATCGTGTCAATGAGTGCGCCCTGCGTTTACGAGACAGAATCTTGTGAGTCCCTGTCGTAACGCACGTTGGGCATGGCGTGTGTGAAGGCGCTGGCGGCATATGGATGATCCCACTTTACAGAACAAGGTCCTGGAGCGGCGGGCCCAGTGCTCCTTGATTGAAGCGCAGCTACAGCATTCACTCTATCCAGGCGCAGCAATGTGGGTATGGGCATGTTGGTGCTCAACCGCGCCGAATGCTCAGCTGATTGCCTTCCCGAGCAGGTGGCCGACGTGCATGGCTCGAATGGTCTGAGCGTGCTCATCTCTCAGGCTGAAGGCCTCGACCTCCCGACCGTGAACGAGCTGTACAAGCCAAAGCTTCAGTGTGCAAGGTGTGTTCGTGTCTGCCTGCGTGTGTGTTAGAAGTCAGAAGTCTCTGTTTATTGTCTGTTTGTTCACCAGAAGAAGCCTCAGCTCGTCTCTGCTCTCTAAGGCGCTTGAGAAATCTGGAGGTGAACAGCCTGAAGAGGTTTGTTGGGCTCACGGCTACCGAGCCATGGGCTTGGATTCTGTGCCACCACGTGGCTCAGGCTTGTGCTGTTTTGTTCTCGTGCTATGAAAGGGAGTCTTGCCCAAAAGCCGATGCAGTCGAAGACGAGCCGGGCTCCAAGACGCTGCAAAATACAAAGGCTCCACAGATGGCGGATTTCCCAGTGCCTAGATGAGAGTTCCATTCTGGTGCTCAGGAACTTTCAGAGTTCGCTGGAGAGTGGAGATCGAAGCCACAATAGCCTTGCGACGGGCCGCTTTTGCATCGGCCCGGAGCCAAGGAGTTCGCTGCGGGCGATTTTCTCAAGGTGGCTCCCAGCCCAGGCTTGGATCCCAAGGAATTGCTTCTTGCAGCTGTCTACGCCTGGGCCCTGGGGTCTGCATTCGGAATTGCTCCCCATCTATGAAGCCTTTGCAAAAAAACGCTGCAAGGCGCAGAAGCATGGTGATCTTGCTCCCTTTTCAAAGGCTTTGCTGTGGAACAGCCAGGTGCGGTGACCAGTCATGACACTGGCTGTGAGCATGACGTCCATAGATTCACCGGGAGTACTCGGTCGGCATTTCGATAGCCTGTCACGTGTCTCGTGATGCTGCTTTACTTGGTGTTCCGTCAGGAATTGTCATTCCTCGTGGCCGACTATCGGAAGCAGTGACCTCAAGACAAGGAACCTGACCAGCGTCTCACGTTAATATGATGTATAAATATTTATAATATGTCTTGACAAGGCCTTTGGTGTGCCATCTGAGCGGAGCAGCGCGGGACGGCGGCACGGTGCCTCGGCAACAACTGGAAGCGGACCTTATGACTTCTCGAGAGCCTCTCAGCGCTTCGGTGCAGCGCTTCGCGGCTGCAGGCACTGGCCGGTCTGGCGAGCTACTCTGGTGCATACGACGCATCCGAAATCTCCGCAAGATGCTCAGAGCTTTTTCGCTGCCTCTCCTCTTTTCCGACAGCGAATTCCAGGTCCGTTCCTGCTTCCACGGCCTGGTGCCAATGGGAGGCCGGGCATGGTTGAATGACGAGCTCGTCTAAGTAAGCCGAGAGAGATCTTATGACATGAGCTGCCTTGCAGGTGTTTTGGTGTTTCTCTTTCTGCTTGCTTCCGTTTTCGTCGGGATGATTCTGTGTGCTGTTTGATCGATTTTACCTACCTTCCTTGGCCGCTCTTGTGGAGGCCAAACTAACATGCTCGAGCTGTCTGACTGTATGCATGCACCCATGACGCTGTTCTTGCATGCCTCAGTCTCTCTAAATTTCCATTCATCCTTGCACCTATGCGTGTATGCATCATTGTGCATCCATCAGCCCTGCAGCCATCCATGCCAGGAGACAGTGCGGTGTGACCTGCAAGTTCAAGCTTGTTTGTGATATATGCCCTGTCAGCTCTATCGATGGGAGTAGGAGATAGGAGCGGTTGCGAAAGCATCAAAGCAGGTGAGAAAGGCCAGCAACCAACAAAAGAAAAACACAACTGCAAAGTGAATGCATGATACACCACACGCACCCTGGATATCAGGCACGGGTACGGGGCTAGGCATGCTAGAAGAAAGGTTAAGCTATCTACATTGAGACAAACTTCCGCCAGTGCCTGACTGCTTTGAGGCATGACTGCTTTGCCGCGGCCCTGACTTCCAGAAACTGCCGCATTTTCTGCATTCTTTGGATCCACGCCAAGGCTCGGATCCTTGAAGTGGCACCTGGGAGAGTTCCTTGCACTCACCGGTTGGCCAAACTCTCAGAGGGCAGGGGAAGTGTTTGCGACCACAAACCTAAGTACAGAACCCGAAAGCCCCAAAACCCCTAAAATCCTGGAGCCCGAAAAGCTTTCGGAAACCTGCAGGACGCTCCGTGGCTCCGATTTGGTTGCTCTGGGACTGGTCAGGCCGGCTTACTCGTAGCCTATTTCGGCGGAGTACGGCAGTGGCACGGGTGGAGAAAAAACTCCAACTGTACCGGCATATGTGTGTGTGTGTATACATGCATACCATGCAGACAAGTTTATATCATGTATGCATGTATGTATGTGTGTATATATATATATATAAATCTTATATGCACATAAATACCCAGCACATGACATGTGTAGATAAAACTACAGATATATGTATGTATGTGTGTGTATGTATATAAATATAGATACATATATTTATGTTTGTTACCCCCCGACGTACTACAGATTTGGTGTCAGCAATGCCCTGTAGTATAATTCCAAGAGGCATGACACCTTACATGCACAGCTCATATTTCAAGACATGGTGCTGTTTCAGTTTTCTGTTGCGCTGTTCTTGGTGCATGGAACAAAACTTGCCTAACTCCTGACGGTCTGCTTGAAATATGATTTCATGCTTGGAACATGCATCATGAGCATTGACGTGAACATGGACGTACTACACAGACTCAACCAGCCACATAGAAGCCGTCAGATACGTGTAAGCAGCCGCTCGTTCACAAGGCAACTAACTGTCACAAGCGGTGATGCAACGAAAAGCAGGTACACTTATATACTTTGCTTCACAATACTTTCGAGGCTGGCGAACATACGCGAGACAGAAAGGTGCTCGGCTGGCGGTTTATTCGAAGAGGTTGCCACTGACGGTGCTTTGCGGGGCGGAATATATAAGCGGGACAGCTGCTGATCGGAGGAGGCGACCGTGGAACACGCTTTGGAGGCTGGGGTATCTCCATGAAACAATTGGTGAATGGCATTGCTGTTTCTGATTTTGATGCGCGGACCTGGCGGCGATTTACCACTGAGGGTTGCATAGACATAGTCGGCCTCCCACTGCACGAAGTTTGGATGCATGGAGACCTTGGTGTCGCGGTACTGTTGATACTTGTCACCACTCGAAGGCTTCATAAACTCAACAGAAGCGCCCATGCTGAGACATGGAACCATGATCTCCTCTTGGGTAAAGCGATGGAAAAGCAAGCACTTGCCGCTATTGGCGAGGATGTTTGAGCGTTTGAGAACAGCCTCTTGTGTGGATTTTCTGTGTCCTTGGGGAACATTGGAGTGATCACAGCCAAGAAGTCTTCGTGTGACATGTAAGACGTGATGCCCGAGCGATGATGTTGTAGCTGCTTCAGAGAGTCTGCGAAAACATAGTCGTTGCACGCAAAGACACGCATTTGACTCTGAACAAACTTGACAGCGCCCCACCTCTCCTTTTTCATCATGGTGCAGCTGACGTCTGTGAAGCCCTTCATTTGCCGAATAGGTTCTTCTGCGAGTCGTCCGTCGTCATGTGCCTCCGGTCAGTCTTGCGGCCATGCTGTCCGCGAAAAAACTCCTGGGCATTGAAATTGTTTTAAATTGTGTCTATACGGATACCAACACCAAAGATTGTTATCCGAATCTCAGAGTCAAACTCACTTGCTTTTCGGAAGGATGCCGGGGAGGAGATACCGCGTTCGCGTCTCCAATACCGCGAAGCACATATGGCAACGATCCGTGCAAGAGGTGTCTTGCTGTTGCCAGGGCCTCCAAGAATCCCAGCAGCGACGCTTTTCATGTTTTTGATAGTGCGACGAACTGCGAAGTCAAGAACATCTATGTCCACATCTGCCAAAGTGAAGAGAAAATCTTCGACCGGGAGTGCCAAGACAGCATCAGTCTGGATGGCTCTCAGCGGTTTTTCGATGAGTGCATGTGGCCATGAAAGGGTGATGATTTGTTGACACTGATGCCACTCGCTGTCCCGACTAGGAGCTTCTTCCGAGATGAACAGAAATCCGTTTGTCGACGTCCTCCTCATTGAGATCGGACGTGAAGGAGCCGCCAGCATCCGCAGTATCTTCTCGGCGAGGAAGAACATGTGTCAACGCATATTGTCGACACTGCCAACCCCCCATTTGTTCAAGAAGCCACTGCCAGGCCTTGCGGCAGTTCATAGCCTGACCATTCCATCGCAAGGTTTGCGGGGTGATGAGCTTAATATCCATAGCTGTTTTATGGCAGCATGGCGCCGGCATGTTTCTTGCTCTCCAGTTGCCTTTTGTGACGGCCGCTTCGATGGCCGACCGTCGTGGATGATGTCAACAAAATGCCTGAGGGTGTTTGGATAGATGCACCCCTTGCGTGGCTTCGATGACGATGTTGAGAAAGGCGTTCCCCTCACGTCCTGCGGAGGCCATCGCGAAAAAGACGATGCGAAGAAGGAATGTGGGCTACAGTACTTTGTGCTTTCGAACCCAAGAAGACTAACAGACACAAGGCAACAAACATGACAACAAAGTGCTTGCTCTTCCTTCACACCTGCGAACTGATGCAAACAAACAATGTTCATGTGTCATGAGTTCGTATGGTTACGGAGTCACTTAGAAGCTCATGTATAGCCATCGCAACACAAAGCTTATTGTGTTGATTTCTTCGGATAGTACAGACTAAGAACACTGAGAGCCCTGAAGGAGCTCACTTGGTGAGCTCCTTAAGTCTGTTTACAATTTGCAATGAATGCGGAGAATCTCGTCGAAGGCGTATTGCAGTTGGCCCTCCACACAACTGTTCCTGCATTGCACAGTTCTTTCACAAAAAGAACTATGGACTGAAAGTTAGTCGCAATACTTTGCCGTTTATATCATTAACTTCTGGACACCCGTTGTCCGGAAACAAGTCTTGCAAAAATGCGTGAAGCTTCTGATGGATGTGACGCTTTAGGCACACCTTGGATGTCTGGCACATGTCTCAAAACCAATTTCAAGATGGACTCAGCCATGTCGCACGGCAAGCTCTTCCATACTGCGACATCCAAAGAAGACATGGCACTCAGGGTCGTGATGACCGACCAAAGCTTTGAGCTCCAAATCTCTCAAATTCAAAGCCGTATGTACAAGTATATTGGTGCTACGGGTGATTCCAGTTAAGCCGTCATCGACTTAAGTCACCGCTGTCCTGTTCTTCCAATGATTCGGATTCCGCGCGCGCGATTTTATCGGTTTTTCCAATGCTTTGAGCTCCCTGTGTGACATCTTTATTCGTTTGAGCTCCCTATGTGCCATTTGTATTGTTTTTTCCAATGTTTTGGACTCTCTATGTGTCATTTCAATTGTTTGGGGTTCCTTATGTGCCATCTTTATTGGTTTGTCCAACGTCTTGTGTTGCTTGTGTGTCATTTCTATTGGTTTTTACCTATGTTCTGGACACCGTATGTGCATTTTTTTGGTTTTTCTAGTGATTTCGTGTTTCCGAAGCTGAAGACATTGGAAAAGCCAAGAAAGACAATAAGAACCATGATTTCGGGCGCGGTGTCGCGCCTGGAAATAGTTTGAGAATCATGGTTTTTATTGTTGTTTTGCTTTTCCAATGCTTTCGGCTCTGTGTGTACAGTGTCCAATGTCTTGGGCTCCTTGTCTGTTTTTTTTCATTGGTTTTTCCAACATATTTGCCAGTATCATTCATGGGCTTTTCCATTGCTTTGGGCTCCTTGTGTGCAATTTTTATTTTTTTTTCTAACGTTTCGGGAACCGTATGTGCCACTTTTATGGTTTCTCCAATGTTTTGAGCTCACTATGTGCCACTTTTATTGGTTTTCGCCGCTTTGCGACTGTACAGGAGAGCACGATCGAGGACTTGCGGAGAGCACGATGTAGCGGGGACTGTGTAGAGAGCACGATGACTTGTCGAGAGCACAGTTGACGATGCGGTTTTCCGAGCCACACAACTAAGCTACAGTGAATTTACAACTTCGATCGCCCTGGTTGAGCAAACAGATGAACGACGTGCTGAGGTCCGTGCCTGACAGGCAGGGAAATGATGTGTACATGGGGGCGTACCACATATATAAATATATACATATGTATAAGTATGCATGCACATTTGTATATGCATATATATATATATATGTGCACACACACACACGAACATGTGTATAATACAAAAATTTCTGCATAGATGTGACTGGTTACAAGTCAATGCAACCAGGTTCTTGCGCATATGCCACTATGTCGATCTGTTTTTCAAAGGAACAATACAAACATGCGCATTTCTGGGTGCCGGAGTCCAGTTCTTGTTCTTCGAGTAGACGTTGCGTGATAGCGAGAAGAACACCACATGCGGTTTCGCATTGGCTTGGCTTCTGCTCACTTGAAACGATGCTGTGAGTGTCCGACACTTTGTCTCACTCTCCCCCTTGTTCATGTGCAGAAGACCTTCCCAACTTGGCCCTGTGGTCAGCGCCACCAAAACGCAGCAGCAGACCTGCCTGTGTGTTGTGCTTTCATTGTCAAGCCAGGCACTGGATGTCGCCGGATGCCCTGCCTTTTCTGGAGCTGACCGCAGAGAAACAGTTGGAGGCGCAGCCGCAGCTGTGACATGGCACTGCAATCGCATTTGGGTTTGGAAGGTGTCTGAGAGCGATGCTGCCATGCTGTTGACGGAGCACTCATTGCCACTACCGGCGAGCTGGCCTAGATTGTTTTCACTAGTTTCGTGTCCTCAAGCCAGAGTTAGAAACTGCCAGGAGAGTAGCCTGCTTTCCGGCCAGCAAGATGCGCCGGGTTTCAAGCGAAGGCTATCCAATGCCATTGGAAAAAGTTTAGCGAGCGGTCTTTCTTTTAAACAACAGACCTGGGCAAACTGCCAGTTACATTCCATTGATTGCAGAGATCTTCAGCCAACCATCCCTGCCGAAAGTCATGGAGGCAGGTGCCCAAGGCGAGCATGCTGGGGTCTGTAGCTGCGTCCGCAGGCACTGGAGGAGAAGACCAAACAGCTTGAAACGGTTCAGAACAGCGCGTTCTTACAAGTCTGCTACTGAGATTCTGAGATGGACTACAGCCACCGTGTTGTTGGCTATGCTGCCTGCGTGTCACGAGCGCTTGAGGTTTGCAAGGAAAGATTAAGCCGAGTGGACAAGCGAGCCGCCTGGATGACGTCTTCTGCCCAGTCCCGAAGACTTACTATGCAGAAAGATGGTTCGTTGTCTGGGAACGAACGAACTCTGGATGAAGAAGCCAGTCGCAGCCTTGTGCGCTTGTGCAGGCAGGCCCTCATCCGTGATGCCCGGCAGAACATAAAGGTGCGGGGTACAGTCCCCAACTCCTAGCGCCCAAACGCCAGATCTGCCAGGCCAATGCCGAGCCTCCTGGCATCCAGAGGCAGCTCGGACTGAGTTCATGGAATGTAGGGGGCCATGTGAAGGCAGCATGGTACAGCAGGAGCCGTGTTTGTAAACCACAAAGTGCTCCACAATCACGTGCATGCCTGAATCTGCCGGCTTGCATTATTTCATTGTGTGTTCCACAGGGATGCCCTTCCTTCAGTTGTCTTCAAGACACCATCTTGGACACGTTACTTCTGTCCTCTTGACTCGCCTTGTTGGGCAGTATTTCAATTTCTCGCCATCTGGCATGATGGCCTGCTTGCCCATTGGTTGTATGGTCTGCTCACAGAAAGGAAAAGTGCCGCCAAAAGAGAAGTATTGTGTTCATGTAGTTTGGAGTTTCTGCATGTATTATAAGGTCAGAATGCAAGGTTTATACCAACAAAAGGCAGGCCTACGTCGGTAGCGGGACTGGTCTTCTTGCATCGCTCGCAGATTCCATGGTGTTTTTGGGGATTTTGGCGGAAGATGCAACAACCACGGCAACACAGGCCTGACATCGCTACCGTGCACAATATGCAAGTCTCTGCGAGAAGGTTCCAATTGCCATGCACACGTGTTCGCAATTTGTCAAACAGAGGGCCCGCCGATCATGCATCAGAGGTAGATCAAGCCAGTACTGCTTCGCTAAAGCAACCAGAGATTCGGAGTCGAGGTTGGTTTACTTGAATGAGGGCTTCACTGACACCCAAAGAGAATCGCTCAACATCATGGCTTATGTTGCATTCTCATCTCAACTGGCGCATCGGAGTCTGTTGTTCATTGCTGCCCGTTCGAACTGAAAAGAAACGGGCCTTGTCAAGCAGATTTTCGGCCCAGGCTTCATCCCACGGTGCTGCTGGAGGCGCTGAGGCGGGTACCGAGTTGGCTTCCACAGCCTCGACAGTGCCCTCTTCTTCCCCCCCCAGGCATGAGCTTTGGGCCCAGACGCAGCTGCTGGCTCGGCAGGAGCAATTCTCTTCTCGCTTTTTTTCCCCACATCTTTGTGTGGGGTTCTTACTTTTCTGCTTGGCGTCCGCCCGCTTTCCGCGTCCTGCGTCCCGCCCGCGCCTGCGTTCGGCCCGCCCGGCCGCCCTTGAAGACTCCGCTTAAGAATTCCTAGCCGGCGCAGCATTTGCTGGCCCCCCTCCAACCCCGGAGTGTGCTTCGGGCCGGGGTAGATGACTTTGAGGGTTCAGAGGTTCAGGGCTCAAAGGCTAGTACGGCTTAGGGCTGGACTTTCGGTAGGGTTTAGGGGACTTTGAGGGTTCAGAGGTTTAGGGCTCTAAGGCTTAGTACGGCTTAGGGTTTGGGGCCTGTGGGAATTTTGGGCCTTTGCGATAGGGTTTAGGGTTTAGGGTAGATGACTTTGAGGATTCAGAGGTTTAGGGCTCTAAGGCTAAGTACGGCTTAGGGTTCAGGGGCCTGTGGGATTTTCGGGCTTTGTGATAGGGTGCATCGCATATGAGCTCAAAACAGTTATGCTTCATGCTTTTCCGTCCCGTGTGTTTCACCGTCTCGTCCGTGTCGTCCTCGTGTCCTGCATGCTCTTCCCCCCGCCGCGCTCACGCCTCACCCATCCACTCTTCTCGCTTACCTTTCGCTCACTTGCTCGAATTGCTGCCAACCCTTTCACTAAAACACGCATGTGGGGTTATCCGGTCCGTTAATTGTTGTTGCTCTCCGCGGGCATCCGCTCCATTCGGCGAGGACACCATCTGGGGACTGCACGCCTTGTGCAAGGGGACGACCTACAGGCAGCTTGCGGCTGCGTTCTTGGAGCGTCTGGCGGCATTCTCCGTCCCTTGGCAGGTTTGGAGAGGACGTGACGGATGTCTTGGTAGCTCAAGTCGACGAGGCCCGCGCTCACTTCGGCTGCGAGGAATTGAGATCTCAAGACTGAGGCCACCAAGGCGCCAGAGGACTTCGTCTTTGGTATTCCTGAGAGATCGGAGATGCCTCTCTCGCAACATCCACGATTGAGGCACGTTTCTGATGTGTTTTTTTTGGTGAGTCGCCTCTTGACTGTTGATCTCGTCGCAGGCGATACCATCCTGACTACGATTCTGCTACAGGCCATGTAGCGCCACGCTCTTTGCCTTCTCGCTTCTTTCTGACGGAGCATGGGGCTTGGGGCAATGCTCGCAGGTTTGGACCATGACCCAGTCTGGATGCAGCAAGAAGTGCAGCGAACACCCGGCTTGTTTCCCGTGTTCACCGCCTTGAAAGACACGCCTCTGACTCTGCAGGTTGGGATTCGGAGCTCTTCGATCTCGAGCGTCGCCAAGCTATTGAGGACGGCGGATGAATTGAGTATCGAAGTTCATGCTGCATCTGATCTGCGTCACGGCGGGCAAACCAAAGATGCGCAAGTCGTGGTGCGCTTTTGCGCCGTACAGCACGCACAACCGCATGTAGCTGTCTTGATTGCGCTGACTAGGACATGCTGGGAGACCGAGATCCGTCTGCCTTCGGGCTCAGCCGCTACTCGGCCACACGAGTCGACCGTCCAGGCTGCTGTCAGGCCCTGTTTCGGACCCGTGTGGCGTGTCGGGGACGTTGGGAGGTGGGCTAACTTGCATTCCTGGCTTCTCGGATTCATGTTGAAAAGCAGGGCAAAGCTGGCACATCCAAGGTTGGGTCAGGGTCGAAAGCAGACCAGGATGATGTCTCGTGTGGTGAGCCGGCCGCATTGGCTGGCACATGTCATGCTTCATGCAAAGAACATCGAGCATCTTCTCGTTTCACTCAATGAAGTCTTAAAACGTCTGGCTGCGATGTTGTGAGACTTGTGAGTTGTGTGGCAGAGCAGAGGGGTGCTGCAGACATGTGCGCGCTGCAGACGGCACTGCCAACATTTCCACAGCTTCACGTCTCTGCGGAAACGGGGTGCAGCGGTACGAAACTAGTGATGGCTGGCCTTCATGCCCAAGTAGTGTGTAGGCAAATGCCCGAACCTCGCCTCAAAACCAAGCTTTCTGCTTACATCCAGCCGTAGATATTCGGATTCGGCTCTGCGCCTGATGGATTTCGACAACGAGTCGCTGCTAAAATGCTTCTGCTCCGAAGAGGAGGAGCAGGATGTAATAGCCTGGAACAAGGAGAACGTGCATGCTCGATCCGATGTCTTCGAATTCAGCTCCGTGGCGGTGACCCTTATATAGCCCCTAGCTGCTGTCCTGCCCAAGCTTTGCCCCAGTGTCAGAGTTGACGCCCCTTTTGATGCCCTTCAGGGCTCGAAGAAGCGGACAAGCTTCGAGAAGAGGGCAACCAGCTCTTCAAGACTGGAGATTTTGCCACTGCACGGCAGCGGTATTACGGAGCCGTCTGGCACCTGGACTTCGACATTGGGCAGCAGTGGAACTTGATGGATCATCACCAGCTTGACCTGAACACAAGGACATAGTGACATAGTGTCATGATGTCTCATGCTTCGAGGTGTTAAGGGTGTGAAGTTTGGCTAAGTCTTGCGAGAGCCGCAGGAAGCTGAAAGTCATCAGCAACATCTGCGGAGCGTATCTCAAGGAGAAGGATTGGGTGAATACCAAAAAGGCCGCTGACATTGGTCTGCGGCACATGGAGAAGGCCGCGCTCACGGACAATGATTCCAAAGGGAAGTTCTTGTACCGAAAAGGCCGGGTTGAATCCGGAAGTGGTGCTTCTTGGTCGTGGCGATTAGATGGCAGGCTTTGCAAACCTTCAGCGCGGATTCGCTGAGGATGCCGTTGAAGCCTTGAAGCAGGCCGGAAGGATTTTAAACTGAGCCCAAGTGCTCTAGAACACCTATTATTACTATTATTACAATTACTACTATTGTTACCATTATTGCAATTACTACGATTATGACTATTGTTACAATTACTACTATTATTACTAGTAGTACTATCAGTACGGATAGTACTATTGTTCTATTTCAGCCAAAAGAGGCAGACGCTTTGATCCCCGGAGACCGGCAGCTGCGCTCGGCGCTGAAAGAAGCCTCGGATCTCCAGAAGACAGCGAGGCCCCTAGAAGACCTCTAGGCCCTAGGCCGGGCAGAGTCAGACGGAGATTTTGGCGTGTAACATTCCTTTTTTTGGTGGCCTGCTGAGGATAGACAAAAGGCGAAGGATGTCTGGAAAAGCAAGCTGCCGGACTGCAGGACAGCGCGACATGCCATGACGCAGCATGAAGAGTCCGCCAGCCGGGGAACAGCCAGAGCTCGGCCAGCCGGAGTTGACAGCGGCATTGCAGTGCATGAGCAGCGATGTCCGAGCTAGGCTTTCCTCATGCTTACGATCTCTTGACATGCGGAGTTTCTGACAGATCCCGGAGACTTAAACTGATGTGCACACTACACAGAACGCCTATCAACATCAGGGCTTCCAACAACATTCTCTTCTTGCTCTGTGTGTTGTGTTGTCGCGTCGTGTTTGTTTTTGACTTTTCAGGGTGGTGGTTGCGGTTGCAAGATTGTTGTGACGAGGGTCACGTGCAGCTTTGCCGCGCAGCTCAGGCTCTTGTCACAGGAAGAGAAGGCCTGTCAGGCGCTTTAAGCATTTCTTGTATTGATTGTCATTGTATTGCTTAGCTTTGAAACTCAAGCCTAGCGACCGGACTCCTTGTTTCCGCAACCGCTTGGTGTCAGGGGTCATGGACAGAACCGGCGGTGGCATCAGCCCGGCTGAAGTTCAACTTGCGCCGTTGTTGCCGCAGATGGAAGAAGGACTGAGAGGGCCCCATGGTCTGCATCGGCCACCTTCTCTCAGTCTTTGCAGCTCTGCTGCGCCAGTTTCCGAGCGAATCAAAGACCAGGTCACCCTACTGCGGAGCATCGCAGTTAAAAACAAGGGCGACGTAGTGCGTGCATTGTTCAGGATGGCCGGTTGCCACAGCGAAGCCTGCAGCCGTTAGGATCAATAGCACACCAACTCATGGGTTGACGACGCATCACATTCATTCCAATGCCAATCCGTCTTTTCCTTTACATAGCCCCCCCAAGCCCTAGAGCACTAACTATTGGATATCAATGTCGTTAACAACTTCATGCTGATGGATCTGGTCGGCTCGCTGCAACATCTGGTTTTCCTGTAACTTATCCGCCTTGAGATGCTTCAGCGACAGACGGCTTTCTGGTTGAAGCTCTCTTTGCCCTAGACAGGCAGAGCTCGCTGGCTACTTGACCATGTTTGCCCCGGAGAGCAGCGATGTGGCTCTTCCGATGATGTTGGTGATGTGGCCGCTTGGCTCACTGCCAACCGAGAGAAGCAAGGAACGGTATAGTAGCGGCACCAAGAGATCATAAAAGATCCTTTGGTCTTTTTCGCCACAACATGTGCTCCTGGTCGTCTTGGGGCTTACAGTATCTTGGGGCTTACAATAGGGGAAGGGATAGGGTGGAGGCAGAGTGTTCTCGTGGTGGCATGGCGCAGGGAAGGAGGCTTTGTTGGGTTGGATGGCCTGCGGCATGGGCCGCTCAACAGCATGAAGCCCGTCTCTTCAACCCTGTGACGAACCTGCCGGTGAAGGCGAGTGTTGACCAACGCACTCTGGATCCAGCACGGACCGGCGATTTTTTGATGCTCGCCTTGCTCACTGCCAGCGCTTGCTTCAGGTTCTGTTTTGGCATCTGGCCGTCCCTCCGGAAAAAGGGAGGTTCCGATACGGTGAACTTTGGCTTGACGCACCTTGTCACAGCAGGGAGGTTTTTGAATGTCATAGTTGCCACTGCCCACCAGCATGATGTCCATCCTGCGGCATGCGATCTTCTAGCCCAAGGGAAGACGACATACTGAACAGAACGAATTCTTTTCAGCTGAAGCCAAGGTATGTCTTTGCCCAAGTCCTGATAACTCTTTGCATGTGCTTTACGTTTGGCATGGCAAATCCGGTGGATGCCAAACACTTTGTGCCTCCCTCAGTTCACCTGACGCCAATGCTTCAGCATTCATGCTACGGTGACAGCGCGGGATAATTATTTTTCACTTCGGATTAGAGCACCTTCGAGTTCTAGTCTGGTATTGCTTGCTCTTGCTTGCCACTGGTTTCTACACGATGCCGTCGCTGTAACCAAGCGTGGCAGGCTGGGGATGCGAGAGGAGGGCTGTTGCGGGCAGCTTGACAGGACACCGAGCAGTTTACACAAACGCTTCAGAAGGACATCTCGGAGAAGCTCGCTTGCATTCTAGGTTAAGCGGGCCTGGGCTTCGCTGCAAATATGATATGTATCTTGCTGAATGACGTCTATGTGTTAATGTTTCATGTGTAGTGAGGCACAACCTGCCCCTGTTTGTCTTCAGCCATCGACCACTTTTTCGTGTGAGTAACTGATTGATGCATGACACTGTACAAGCTTTGCCAGATGCTTGCTCTTATCACCAAGTAGCACAGTTTCGAGGCCAACATTCAATAACTGGGGACTGCGAAATCAGGACATGTATCTCTCCATGCGTCCAGATGTCCTTCTAGCTCCCTGTCCTCCGATCTATCTACCTAGAGTACAGCTTATGGGCCTAACTGCCGTGACATGCCTAGCTACTTACCCGCCTGCCGAGCGGCAGGTAGACATAGACTGGAAGGGCCCTTTGCACCGAGGAAGTCCTTTGCCGTTCTCACTGCTATGATTGCTGGCGTTTCGCTTTGCAGTGGAGATTTCATTATGGCCAAGGCCATAGATGTGCTGCTGGGACTGGCACCGTCATGTGCGAATTTCCTCTTCAGTGGATACAGACGCCTGTGTTGAAGCGGATTGCTTGAAAGCGGTTCAGCCTTCTCAGTGGATGAAGTGCGCACTTGTGTTGAATGATCATGCCCTTTCAGTCGTCCCGGCGAAGCAGAAAAAAGAAGAGGGATGCTGAAATCGTTCTCCCGCCCGCGCCTGAGGCTAGGCCTGGCTGTGGCGTGTCCCATCGGTGCCTTTGGCTGCACAGCTGGGATTTGCGAGTATCTCGGGAAGTGGTTTCATATTCTGAGCTCACAAGCACACTCCCTGGCTTCAGCATCTTGAAACTTAAAACAGTTTCAAAGCTCACTTCCTCAGGAAAGGTGAGTCTTTTCTTGCAGCAAGGCACTATCAATTCCGTGTTGCCCTTGCTTACCGCCATCGCCCTGCCCCCCGCACCACGCTACAATCTACAACAATCTTTTCTACAAACCTAACGATTAGTGCATACTATTATGCATAATATTAACTAATTCCCTTCGTTCATTCCTAAATTCTCTATGTGCTTCTTGGTTGTGTTATGT